ACAGCAGAAGAAATCAATAATATCATCCTTCTAAAACTCGATGGACACTGACGTGAATATCTATCTATTGATACAGTTACATTAACAGATGATGCTATTCATTATCCACAAAAATTTCTCAATTCTCTTTCTCCTTCGGGATTTCCTCCTCCTAAGCTAAAATTAAAAATTGGTCCTTAAATTACATCATAACGTAATCTTCAACCACCGAACTTATGTAACGGTACAATATTATAAATAAAATCGCTGTGAAATAATATTATAGAAGCCATCATTCTTACAGGGCCAGCAAAAGGAGCAATTTAATTTATTCCAACATTTCCTATGATTCCATCTGACTTGCCGTTTTCTTTCAGACGGCTTCAATTCCCTGTTAAAGTTTCTTTTGCAATTACGATAAACAAAGCGCAAGGTAAAATATTCAGATACGTTGGTGTGGATCTTCAAACAGAGTGCTTTTGATATGGACAATTATACGTGGGATGTCCTCGAACTGGGGACCAAAATAATCTTATGATCTTAATTTCAACAGAAGATTAAACAAAAAACGGCATATACTCAGAAGTTTTATAAAATTCTTTATCAACCATAAATTACTCATCATTTCTTTTGTATCTGTATTTATTTTTAATAAAAAAGTTTATCATTAATTTCGCTAGAAACATTTCAATTCATTTCTATTTAACTTGCCGATATTATTAAACGATAAAATTCGAATAAAAAATTCTATATATCTTCATCCAAAGACAAATTAAACAAGCAATCACCGGTGAAGCTGTGACGTGTCGGCTAGTTTAATATAAATCTGTAAAATCGTCAATGGTTTAAATGGATTATTAAATATTATACAGAATATAAATATTAGTAAATAGGTATTATGCCTGAGAGTCATAAAAAAACTGAATTTGATTATTTTCTTTATCTCGGGTGATCTTATAATCAGTAAATGTTTGCAAAGAAGACTGCGTTATAAGAACATAACAATAATTGTTGCGTTTTGAGTGTCTTAACATAATTTTTAAACGGGGAAAGCCTGGTCGAACAGATGAAAACCATAATAACTGTAAAAATAAGTACTAGACACCCAACATTTTTTATAGAATTAATAAGTTTTGTATAAGTCAATAGCATAGGTATCGTCTGCATTTCACAGTATCAAAAGAAACGCAATAAGATTTTATGGAATTTCACTGCATCCTGACTCCTGTTTTCCGTCTAGTATCAAGATAATTATTTTTGATCATAGAACTTAATCCTAAAAATATTATTATTATTTAAACTATGTATGTAACGAGTACAAGCCCGAGAATTGAAACTTCTTTAGTAGTCACTTTGTTTATAATTAACCGTATCTATACATAAAAATCCAAAATAGGATGAAAACATAACACAAAGATGATTTTAGTAATTTCTTAAATTATTGATTTTACTTTATCAAATAATAAATTAATAATTATTAAATAGTTAATTCCCGTAAATAAATTTATAAATAAATAAAGCTTAGTCTGAAGTATTTTAATGTTAGTAAAGTACGAACAGTTTTGAATTAAAAATTCATCAACAGGTATATACAAAGTTAATACAATCATGTCTAAATAAAAAAAAAATGTACTCATATATATATATTTGTTTTAGCATTATAACATTTGTCATAAAAAAGATAAATTTATTAGAAATGTAATAGATATACACCTATACATCAATATTGAATAAAATACATTATACGTATATCGTATATACATTTAATAAAACATTGTAAAACGTTGGTTCTTCAGTAAAATAAGTTTTTAAACGATTGAGTTATTAGTTTATTGTTAGCTATACAGTTATTTTTTATATTATATGAGGCGATTAAACTATTATTATAAATCGCATTACTATTAAAAATCTATTAATTCATAGCCGTACTTTCAATTTATAACATGTTATAAATTAGGATTTATATTATGTCTCTATCTGTGACCTAAAAACGTATATATTAGAGCTAGACATAAAAAAACGAATCAGAATTCTTTTTTCCTGCAAACGTTGGGCTTTATTAAACTTTTTTCGTTAATTTCCATACATTGATGTGTCGTAATGATCAGAAATAATGTAAAAAAAAAAAACCAAAAAAGTCGATTGGATTGTTTTAGTTGTAGCGTATTGAAAATTCAAACACGTATAAGCTATTTATTTATTTTAGGAAAGCCGAAATTTCCTGCGCGAGAAACTTTCAACTCTTCACTAGTTGTTTGAATGTTTTTAAGTAACCTGGTGTATTGATAATATTATTTTTAACACTTGAAGTCACGCACCAGCAAGGATTCACTGGAAACTATTTCAGTTTTCACGAAAAATCCCGTTTAAGCCGTGTTGTCCCAATGGAACGATGTTTTTGAGAAGATCACACGAACCCTGTTGCTTGGTATCTAACTATGAATAAATAATTTGATCGTTTCTTATAAGGCATCAAGTTTCATCGTCCACACATAAATCTTATAAGTATACGGTAAACATCCTTGAGAATCCTTCTAAATTGAAAATTAGTTTTCGAAAATGTATTCACTAACTAATGGTTACATCTCTAATACGAACATATATAAAAAAATTAAATTTTAAAGAATGGTTATTTTAACATTCTGTGAAGTAAGAAGATATTTGAAAAAAAAAATTGGTTTTTATGAATATTAATTTTGCTTTTAACTGGGTTTCATCAAATTCTTAATGTGAAGAGCATGGTGGCTTTATAATGACTCAAAAAAAAGCATTAGTAAATAATATACTTTAAATAACTTGTAGGCAGTTTAAAATTAAGCTCCGTCCAAGACAATTTCATGTGATGTCTGGTAATTCAGATAGTTTAATGTAGTTATTAGATAATATTATATGAAATAAGTTTACATAGTAAAATTATATTTTTTATATTATTATAAAACGAAAACCGCCAAAATAATCTTCTTTTTTTTGTAATTTACCATTATGAAATTTACACTAATAGAAAAAACTTAATAACTTAAAACTGATATGTCCCAATATAATTAAGTCTACTGTATAGTTAAAAATAAAGGTATATTTTAGACTAAGTTAGCCTAACCAATGTTACATAATATACAGTGAACGTAAAATATACTCTTATGTCAGTGTTATCTAATACAAACTTATTGGGGCATTTAAATTGCACACAAAAGTTATATTTTGTTAATTTTGTGTGCAAGGTTTTTTAACAACACATTAAACTTGTGTCTATAGATGACCATTAATATCTCGATAACCATTTATGTTGACATATTTTCCTTCCACATTTACAAATTGACGATTGCCATTTAAATCAAATATAATTTGGTTATTATTCATATTATTTTTAATTATTTATTAGACAAACAATACATTTAAGATGATCTAATATAGATACTTTAAAAATGTATAGAATAATACGTATTATTATTTGAAATTATTATACGGATATCATGTTTATAAATTTTGTAATAATGAATTCTATTTAGAATATGATAGCTTCTGAACATAGTCATTTAAAAATTTTAGTAATAAAATGTTTACCCACTTAATCATATTCCGGTGGGTAATCAGTTAGATAAGATTGTATTTTTTTTACGCAAACACTTGCTTATTTTATAACTAATACGTTAATTCTCTGTTCCCGGTATAAAATTTGAAATATTTATAAAAATATAATACACATCTATCAATGAAAAAGCATATGATTTTTAGTGAAGTTTAAAATACAAATATATACTCAGAGTTCGTTTTTTGTAATATTCCGAGTACTTTGAATATAATTTATATTTATGTGTTCATAAGAAATTGTAACATAAAATAGATATTTTTGCATTAAATTATGTAATCGAATTTAATGCTCTTAAAATTGCTTTCTTATACATACCACTAAATCGTATATACAATAAAAAAATACATTAACTTTATTGATTTTTTTTTACAATACTTCACATTAGTGCTCTGCATGGCCCGTTATTTTAAGGACCAGACCAAACTTCAAATTTTACCAGGAGACCGAAGTCGGACCGAACCATATTTAAGCGTTAATCAAAGATCAAAATTGGACCGAACCGTCGGCTTCATATCATTTTTAGATCGGACGGGACTAGTTATTAAATAACATTTAATAAAGTAGACTGTGAACAAGACTGTCGGTCCGATCTTAAAATATTTTATAGCATTAATGGACCGGTCCATAAGGTTCAGTTTGTATTAGCCCAGACCGTACTATATGATGCGTTTAGTATCACACAGGACTGGACTACCCGATTTTATAAATAAATATATACTTAAAGTTGTAGGTTGTTTTTCGTTTTATTTGTTTATATAACAATAACTGTATTTAAATTTTAAGTACCATGATTGGGACCGAACTGAAACCGGACCGGACTGATTTTCATTTTTTTTTTTTTTTTTTTGAAACCGAACCAGACTGAAAATAATAAATTTGATCTGAGAATTGGATCAAACTACCCCTAAAAATTATTGAACCGAACCAAACCGACGATTCAATAGTTTTTGTATGTTAGGCCCATACTAGACCAAAATATGCAGAGCACTACTCCACATTTCATGCATAGATTTGTATTTCCGTGTACCGATTAAATATGATGTGACTCCAATTTATAAAAGTAAATATATTTATACATTTTTACAATTCCTAACACACTTCTTTGTTATTTCATAGAATATAATATCTTTTAGTCAGGATATCGATGATGATGATGATGATGCATCTTAATCGCATCTGATTCTGGCTGAATAGTGTTGGGAACTTTTTAAGCTAGTACTTTTCGAAATCTGGTTATTTTAAGTTTACGATCTGGGCAGACCATATTACGGATAATAAATGCATTGATTACAACAGTAGTTTCAAATAAAATAACCTTAGCGACTTATCATATGATCACAACGACTACATTATAGCAGTATAATTCATATCAGCGAAATGGGTTCGAGAAATAAAAAAAAATGCATATATATATACAATCTAGACAACTAACTCATCCACAGGTTTCTCAGTATTTATTTGTCTTATTTACTTCAGTATTTTGAAACAATTACCAAACGGAACCATAATTAAAATAAAAAATCATTTATATATTTTAAATACATGGTATCTATGTATATTATAAATAACTATAATATTCGTGGTTTAAAAAAATGACGACTCCAATACAAGTGAGGCACTGGGTCTTAAAGTAAATGACTCTGTTTCAATAACGTCCCTATAAATTATACATATCGACAATGAAGTTCAATTTTTTTATTAATAACATGAGTTTTAATTATATTTAGTTATTTCATACCCAGTCAGTTGTTCCGCAGTAACACTGGCAACTCTCACTGTCATTTTAGAAGGAAGAAAACGTTTAACCTTCCTGAGATTTATGTTTTCCAATTCACTACCCATGTTTATTACAACGAAATATGATTTAAAAATACTGCTACTTCTAAAATTAAAGTTCATTATTGTTATAACTAAATATACAAATGAAAAATACAATAGTTTACCTAGAAAAAGCCAAAACGTATTTGGATACTTCATAAAGATTTACATCTCCTGAACGAAAAACCTCTAACTGTCTCAACTCTACAAGTTGTTTAAATATATTCAAATGACTACGAGTAGTAGAACAATACTGGTTTTTGACGTTCAAGTTCACATAGTTTGGATTCACTGGTAGCCAAGTTTTGGTTTTATTAGAAAATCCTGCTTGAGCTTTCGAGTTCCACTGGAGTGGTGTACGACTCATTTCTCGAGCCTTAGAAACACCCAACCTTTTAGATTTGCTATCAATAATCTGATCTTCTCTCAAATGTGTATTTGTCATTCCTAATTCATCACCGTAATAGACAACAGGTGTTCCAGGTAAAAGCAATTGTATCATGCATATACCATCTAATAATTCGTCTCCATATGCGCTAGTTGCGCGTGGCCTGTCATGATTTCCTATCTACAACATAATATCTTACACGTGAACTAAATTTAATTGCAAAATTATTTATTTTTTTATGGAAAACATGAATAAAACTATAACTGTAGTAAATTAATAGTCATACTTACTGTCCAATTAGGCCATTTATCTGAGGAATATTCAGCTAATATTTGAGAAATTAATTCAATGTACATACTAACTGATTCCTGACGTAAAGATATAAGATAAGCATTTAGTATAAAATGGCTACCAGGGTGGGTTGAATTTCCATAATACTTCATCGCCTTCTCTATATTTTCATAAGTTTCAGATATTAAGACTCTGTAAATAATTTTTAATTGTTTATTTTCAATCAAAATTATTTGAATTTTTTTATTATAAATTTGACAAACCTTGTTTGGCCATCCTTTTGTTTATATTCATCAACAATAGATCTCCAAATACTTAGCTCACTAAAGGTTTCATTAAGACTTGAAACAACTCCATATCTTTCATTTTTGTCCATAGGATTTTTCATATCCATCAAATCTTGCTTCTCGTATAAATGTGTTATGGCATCCAATCGAAATCCATCGACTCCTTTATCCAACCAGAACCTTAATATACTCTATTTCACAGGATGATAAAATGTATTTATAGAATATTGAAATAAGGTAATTTCTATAAATATTATTTAGAATCTTTATAACGATCTTTTTCTACTTAATTACTTTTATTTCTTCACGAACTAAAGGATTCCAAAAATTTAAATCCGGCTGTTCTTTGTGAAACTGATGTAAATAATATTGATTCCGTTGTTCATTCCATGTCCACATACATGGTCCGTCGAAAGCCAACTAAATTGTAAAAATAAAACTTTTTATAGTTTAGAAGGATGTGTTAACACGTTGAACATTTTCTCGGTTTTTTTCAATTTATTTATAAACAAGTCTTAAAACCCGATGAATGTATTTCTTAAAAAAAATATTAGAAAAAGTAGAACTTATTATAAAATTTGGAAATATACAATAAAATAAAAAAAATAATGCAAGCATTATTTTAAAATATATATTACAAGGGCAGACACCATTTATTTGAGTTCTGAGAACCAATACTTTGTCCCATTAAATTAATTTAAAAACGTTCAGCAAACGTAATATATAATTTAAGTATCGATTTCTTCCATACCCAATTGTTTGGAGGTTGCCTTGTGCCATTAATATATTTTGCATTGGCCCATACATAATAATCGGTAAATGGTTCAATTTTTTGCACAGATTTAATAAACCATTCATGTTTGTGACTTGTATGATTAGGTACAAAATCCATAAGTAATTTTATTCCTATATATCAAAATACAATATTTTCATAAAAATACTCTCACAATGAATATGAATTACCGTTTTCGTGAAGTTTATTTAGTAGATCATCGAAATCATCCATTGAACCCATTAATGGGTCTATACCTATGAAGTCTGTAATGTCATAACCCAAATCGAATCCCGGGGATGGATATATCGGGGTTAACCAGACTGCACCGATTCCCAAATCTTTGAGGTATGGTATGTTTTCAATAACACCTTAAAAGGTAAAATGTTTTACTAAATTATTATTCCTTGAATAAAATTAATAAAATTATAAATTCGTTATTTCATGGATTTTAATTATTTTCACTAAAAATGATAATACAAATTTTGATTTTATTTCCATTTAGTTTTATCAATAAATATATTTTTTTTATTGTTTTAACATTGAATATAATTATACTGGAAGTGTAATAATATATCTTTATACATTATAATATTTCAGATATTTCCAAAGAATTTTAATTTGTATTTACTTACCCCGTAAGTCTCCTATACCATTGCCAGTCGTATCCTTAAATGACCGAGGATAAATTTCGTAAAATACACTTTTTTGCCACCAATCCAGTTTTCTTGGTTTTCTCTTACCCAATTGGTTTATGCTTAAATAATCAAAAAATTTGGAAATATCTAGTGAACATTTGAAATCAAATTATTTATGCACATTCATTAATCGCTGATAATAATACCTTTTATTATATCATTTTCATTTATGTTTCCAATATACTGGTGTTTCTCAGATTTTTCATACTTGTTTGTTTTCATATACATATCATTATTGAAAAAATCATTGTCTTCTTTTCCAAAAAGTTCTGCATTTCCTATTCTTAAGCTTAATAATGATGTGATTACAATTATTGTTAAGAACATTTTGGATTTGAATATATTGAAACTGTATGTTATGAAATGAAACGAAAAATTGTACGTCCTGTTTTTATATATTTATTTAATTTAAACCTTTTATCTATTAAATGGGTAAAGTTATAAAAATCCTAAGCTACATAGTTATAAAACTAGGTACTTGAATTATCATTTGAATTTGAATTCTTAGTTTATAGATTTTATATGTTTACCGAAATCCATGATATTAAATACATTTTAACTGTGCATTGTTACTGTATTACTTTTTTTTTTTATTTAGGGTTTAGCTTTAACAGTTTTAGTTGTTAGCTTACATATGTTTATCAAAGTTTACAATATGTTTTATACATGATAATCCTTTGATGTATAGATGCGAATTAAATAAAATCATTTTATGACCGCGATATCTCATGGCAATAAATTATAAACAGTTTTGACTCGATTATACATTTAAATAATAAGTGATTAGATTTATATGCAATTATGATTATTTTTAATATGTTATGGCTGATACTGGTAACTTATATTCATCAGGTAGCTATTATTTTTATTTGAATCGTTATTTATAGAGGATGTAAATTATTTTAACTTATACTTATTTGAAATACATTGATACGTTAATTAGTTACTGTAGTATTAACATGATTCGCCCGTGTACCTGATGACCACGACGTTTTCGTTGCACGATCCCAGGGCGTACTCCCCGAGCGCTCATTTACCAGCCGCATGTTCCCTTTGGCGCGTGTCACCAGTTACCGCGACCAACCGTCGGCAAAGGAAGAGCCGCGCTGCGCAAACAACCAATCCCGCGGAACGTGTATTACCGTATTCGCGCCACGTGCCGCGGGATCGCACATCGGACGCAACGTGTGTTCATAACTGCTCGTGTTTACCACACGTTCGCAGTGCCGAACATTCGAAAAACGCATTAACCATGAACAAACGTGTCGTCGTTGACGACACGCATATATACTTAACTATTCGATTTTTGTTCATGTTTCCAACATAATGTCAGTGCTTATAGGATTTTTCGTTCTTGTTCGCGTTCGTATACAAGTGGTCAATGGAAAAACCTTCGTTTTCTATTCAACTTGGTTCTATGTTTCACATTCTTAAACTTGATCGCGTGGCAATTGCCAATTATTGTTACGAACGTTTTAGATTCGAATAAATTTAAACCGTAAGTTATAAGAAATTATACGAAGCATTATAATTATATGTCCCATTTTTATAATTTTACTGAAATGTATGTATGTTACAGTTAAAACCCGAAATTCGTCAAAACTAGTTTTCCCAAATCATCTTCGGCAAAACTGATTTTGTTTAGTTAAAACTAGAATTAACCACGACTTCGATGTTGATACTAATTTTAAAACTAAAGTCAATCAGAAATTATTATTATTTTTATTATTTTTTTTGACAAGACAAACTATCTTGGCATTTTTAGTTATACGTGTTTATCGTTAAAATAAATATTTATGAAAATAAATTAAGATAACATCGATTGACTGGCGGAAAATATTGACTATCATACAATATGCCTAATAATAGTATTAATATAATTAATATAAAATTCTGTAATGACTAAGTATCTTGCTTCAAAATTCATGTGGAATAAATTTCTCCTTATGTAAAAAAAAAAAAAAACAGTATTTTATATAACTCTAAATACCACAATAGTTTGCATTGTCAAAACAAATAATAAAAATTACATTTCTTTCAAATTTACTTTTGTTACAATATTGTATTTAAAACTAGTAATATTATTGAAGTTATGTTTAATTAGTCAATATCAGTTTTGACGAAAATGATTTGTGAAAACTAGTATTGTATAGTTATAACTAGTTTTGACGAATTTTGAGTTTTAATTGTAACATGTACAACATTTATATTTCATTTAATACTTTTATATAATAAATAGCTACAGTTATAAAATACTTAACTATTTAATTATAAAACTAGGTATTTGAAGTATCAAAAGTGAATTAAAAGAGTTTTATATTTTATAATCACAGTATAGCTTAAAAAACTTGAGTTATCGGTTTACTAAAGTACTATTGTTTATATAGATACCTGTATATATACATAGTGTTTCACCATGTTTCACCGTGTTTTACCGATTTTTATTTCTGCAGTTAATATTGATTTTTTTTTTGATTTTTTACTTTTACAATAATATTTTGCGATAGAGTTATACGTATAGAATTAATAATACAATTTTTATTTTCACCTCTTAATTAAATTAAAAATATTAATTTACAGTTGATCTTATTATACAAATTTCAATATAGCCAAATTTAATAAGATATTATTCTAAAAACTTTAATTTAATATACGTAAATACCCAATGCTTATTTCCTGAATTACAGTTATTTCAATTTATAAAGTAGGTGTATAACTACATGACACAGTATTCAGAGTGCTGATAATAGACAACCTATGGCACTCACACGGAAAACTTAAAACGTAAAGGGAAAGATTCACTCTTAGTAGTCAGTCACAAGGAGCTCCTCGGACGGTCCCAGTGATCGGTTACAGGTTTGACCATGAGCTCGACAAGCACGTGCTGAAGACCTTTGACCAAGAAGCCGAGGAATGGGTTATGTGTTCACGTTTTATAGTGAAGTATGGCGGGATAGAATTTTGACCGATCCTTTAAGGATTTGGTCTATTTGGTTTGTCAATAGATTATAGTTGAGTTAGGTCTCTATTATTTGAATTATTTTGTCTATGCGCATATCGAAAGTACCGTCATTTATTGATTTTTAACATGTTATATAATCGAGTAGTGTACATCTTTATAATTTATTTATGACATGATGCACATCATTACAACTAAACAAAAAAAAAAATGTTTCTTTTACATTTTTTTGTCACGAGCATGGGAAAAATTAAAAAATTCCGAAGTTTATGGATGGCATAACTAAAAATAATTTTATATGCTTTACAATATAACGAAAAAAAATTATTTTTCTCAACATAAATTTCACGTTTGTATTATATTTTTCGTATCTCTCTGGTTAATATGTTTCGCTTGTTTTGTTTTTAAAAAATTGATAGAAACATAAAAAAAAAAAACTACATTGTAACTTCCAACACGTAACAATTCAACTTTTTAAATGTTCATTTTGGTGATAATTATATTATACTGTTGGTTCTACAATATTGAACAAAATACAAATTTGTTGGATATATGACATTTACAACTTCCTATCAATGTGCAAATAAACATTTTTTAAGCATTCGAATTTTAGCTTTTATTTTTAAACGATCCCAACTTATATATTTGTTGTTCCTTTTACAAGTTTATATCCTATTCAGATTAAATTGTATTTTGGCCATCTCAGAAAAGTGTGTGTTGTGCGAATTATGAAAGTTGCATATTATTAATAATAAACACTTAAAAATAATAGTAATAATATCAAAATATCGATATGTGTCACATGTTCTTTGTATTATGCAGTGGATTTTGCCTAATAAGAGCACCAGTTAATATATGCATACACGTAACATGGGAAAAATGTTGTAATCCCGGAACAATGTATACTAACAAGGTTAAAAAACCACATTATATGGGCACTCGGTTCGGTTTGAATGGGTAATATTTATTTTATCGTTGCGTTAGAATACGCATTAACAACGTCGTATCTATGAGATTGTGTTTATCAAAAGTAATAAAAATCATTAACTTTTAAACCATAATGGGATTATTTTGTGAGTTTTTTTTAATGTTATCAAGAGCAAAAAAAAAAACGATAAATTTGTTGTCTTTTTTCCCTAACTTTACAATAATCTTTTCCGATTTACCGTGAATTTTAACGCGATCCTGTACGTTTTTGACAAATACATACGAACTGAGTATTGTCTCATTTTTTATATTATTTTGTGATCAATATTAAATATGCAAAGATATAAATAAGTATATATATTTAAAAAAGTTAATATTAATTAATTTGGTACACATCTCATGAATAATTATAAGTATAAAAAAATTGAAAAATTGAATATTGAAGATGACATGCCTATTTCTATAATCCTCGAAACCAATGATGCAGACAAATGTTCTATGTCTTAGTAAATAATAGAAGTAAATTGAAAAAAAAAAAAATTTTCTTAATGAAATAAATCATATTTTTAGTTATGTATGTACAGAGGAATCATCATATAAAAAGCAGTGCTCAAATTGTTGTGAGGGAGGAGGGTTCAGGAAGACGGAATTCCTCAACATTTTTTTTTCTTTTTTTTTTTTTGTGTACACCAACTATATTTTTCACTGGAACGGGGGGGGACGCCACTCTAATATCCGAAATATTTTTTATTGAAATTTGGATTTAAATTTACGTAAATTTTATAAAAAATATTACGATTTTTTATATCGGTTTATTAACACGTTTAGCTCCGCTACTACTAACACTTATCAGTGCCCTGCCTATGTTAGCCGAAATTATGTTCAGTCGACTATGCGCACGATTGTAGATAAAACCGTTCAATGCAGACACGCAATATGTATCGACCAGGCGACCCGCACTTTACAATATACAAAGTATAGAATTGATTAAATATTAATTCGAATGTGTGGTAAATATAATTCTATTTACGCTGAGTAAGTACCTACATAGGTCAGTGACGCAACAAGGATTTTTTCATGGGGGGTATCCGTCAGTGGTATAATGTATGATATAATATATACTATTATATATATATTTTATTATAATATTATTTTTTAAAAGCTAATAATTATAGAATTTCGAATCACTACTATTTAATATTCATTGTATTATTTTATTCAAACTTACCACTGTAATTATTTAAAAATATTAGTAGTCACATCAAGTATAAAAATACTTTAGAAAGTTATTGTACGTATTACAATTTTATTTATTTTATTTTTTTCTAAGTTAACTTTTTAATGACGTCATCTGTAGTTTTCAACCGTTTTCGAATAAAATTTAACTATATTATAGGTACATGAGAAAATATACTTTTATAGTAAAAAATTATTTGGTTATTATGATAAGCGACGGCAGCGTCATTGCAGGAAAAATAAAAATACTC